AATCTAAAAAAGTACTAAAAAATAGTTTAAATCTATTATAAGAAACTATCTTAAGAATAAAAAGAATCTTTAAAACTAAAATACCTAAAATATCTTTATAGACTAAAATAATTTTAAATAAGCACTTAAAGATAATTTTAAAGTAGTTAATAAAAAACAATAAGCTATAGTTAAACTGCTTATATTTAAATAATAAAAGTTATATACTATATACTTTATTAAGTTCTATTAACTAATAGCTAAGACCTAATAGAATAATAATGCCTTTATAGAGATTTACTACTAAAGCCTTAAAAAGGAAGTTAAGAATAAACTATACCTTATAAATAGACCTAAAGACCTAATTACTTATATCACTATAGTAATTAAGATTAATAAATAACAGTATAAATATAAATAAAAGAAAGTAAACTATAGATATAAAGATAATTTTAATTTATATTATTTTAATTAATAATATAATAATAACTAAAGTAATTCTTATAATTAAAAATAATAATAAAATAACTAATAAAGTAATACCTTATATAGAATATATTTAGGATAGATAATACTTAAAGCAATATAGCCTAGAAATAACTAATAATAATAAGATATATTTAAATATAAGTACTATAACTGCAATTAGTTTAGATATATAATGCAATAATATTTAGAACTATAAAAACTATAGAATCCTAATTAAGGTAAGTAGACCTTAAAATTAACCTAATAGTATAAGCCTTAAATAGTATAATAAACCTAAATACTAAAAATAATATAAGGTATATATAATATAGTAGAAATAACTGCCCTATATAAAGATAATATACCTAAAGAAAGATAGAACCTAAATAAAGGAAGCTCTATTAGGAAACTATAGGATAACTTCCTTATATATAAGAAAGCCAGTATAAATAAATCTAATAAAAAAATCTATAAAAAGTAAAATTAAATCTAATAAGAATACTATATATAGAGAATATTACTTAAAAAAGAGTATTATAAGAAGCAGGCTATCTATAAAGAAAATTAAAAAAAAAGAATCTAGAATAATATAAAACTTAAAAAATAAATTAATACTAAATAAAGATAATAATAGTAAGAAAAAAAGAAAGCTAAAAAATAAAAAAATATAACAGAACTATAAGTTCTAGGAATAATAAAATAAAGAAATCTAACTACCCTTAACTAAAATAAGTAGAAATAAGCCTTATAAACTATTAATAATATCCTAATTAGGACTATACTTTAAAAGATAGAAGAAGCCTAAAAGATAGAATATAAAGCTAGAGATTAACTCTATATATAGAAATATTAATAATTATAAGCTATAGGATATAAAGGCAAGGCAGTAAAAGTTATAGCTTAATACCTTTACTATAAAAATAAAGAAATTAAGTAAAAATAAAAATAAAAGTATAAATTACTTTATAACTAAAATAAAATAAAGATATACTTAAATTATAAAGATTTCTATATATAAAGAGCTAGAAAATATAGAGATATTAATATAATTAATATAGTATTAATTAGAGCCTATTATACTAAAGACGCTATAAATTTATAATATAAAAAAGAGAAGTTTAACCTATAGGATAATATATAGATACTTTCTATATATAAATAATATTAAAATATTTTATAGATCTTTTATAAAGACTATTAATATAATATATATAAATAAGAAAAGCTTAATAATAATTATTTCCTAATTATAATACTAAAGACCCCTAATAATAAGCTATACCTTAAGGAGAAAATAAAAAGATATCTACCTTTTATATAGTATAATAATTTTAAAGTATTAAAGCTATAATTTAATATAGCTTATTACTAATAGATCTATAAAAATAAAGATCTACTTAATAGAATTAGATAATTATAATATTTAATTAAGAAAGCAGAAAAAGAGTTTAAAGAATTAACTTAAGGAAAATATATATATCTTAAGAAGGAACTATTAGTTAATAATATTAATTTAGAAGATATAAAGGAACTATAAAAATAATAAAAGGCAAATAGCCTATATTTAGATAATAATAATATACTATCTAGATAAATAACCCTAAAAGAGGGTATTAGCAATAAACTAGAAAAATAATATTAGCAATAATTACTTAATAAAGAGTTTATTAATAACTGTATTAATAGTAAAGAATATTATAATAATAACTATAAGAAGGTTTACTGTAATGCCTTAAAAAAAGCTAGATACTATCTATAATAAAGCTATAGATATATAAAAAGCTAAATCTATAATAAAATATAAATACTTTAAGAGTAATATAAATAATAAGCATATTTATATATTTAGTGCTACCTATTTAAATTAAAGAAAGATAGCTAAATGTTTAGGTAGATAGTAAAATATAATAAAACTTTATTAACTTAAAAATAGTTATAAAGCTAAAAATACTATAAAAAAAGAAATTATTGCCTTATCTGCTAATTAATATAAAAAGATAACTCTTTAATTATAATAATAGTATTATAGACTAAAAGGCTAATTACCTTAAGATTATAGCTAAAAGAAGAAAATAAAAAGTAGATTTTAATATTATACCTTTAAGACAGGATATAAATATTATCTTAAATATAAAATAGCTTAAATAAGAAAACCTAATTATTAACTAAAAGAATGGCTAGATTATATTTCTTAATAACCCTAAAAGCAATAATAAAATAATTATAAGAAATAATAAGAGATCTTAAACCCTAACTACTAGAGAAGGCAGGGATAAGTATAAAATAAAGTATTTACTACCTCTAAAAAAAGTATAATATAAGTATAAAAAAGGCATATAAACTAAAAAATAGATTTTAGGCATTCTCTAATAATAAGACCTAAAAAAGAAATAATAATTAATAATAAGCCAAAATAGACTAATAAATA